CTCGTGCCCGTCCATATTCAAAGTCAGTCAGTGTTAATTAGGCAACTGACTTCATTTGGATTTAATAGTGAAAGGTAGTAATGCTTTAATTGTTGTTAAGATCTGCAAGAAAATGATAAACTTATATTTATTCTTGATATGTTTCAGTGTTCGGACTTCAGTCTATCAAACACAATTGCACATGAATGGTGCATATTAGACGAAAAATTACTTTGCGAAAAGGAAAATGTTAATACCCAGTAAAGTATTAGCATACGAAAAGTAAGCAAAAAAAAAATTTAACAAAAGTTATGAGAAAATTCACATTTTTTTATAAAAACGATCGAAAAAGTTCTAAAAAGGAGGTGCATTCTAATTGCTAAGTGTACTCAGCGACTGCGATTATTTTGTGCCTGATGTGAAATTGGATGGAAAGTATTACTGCGATTATTTTGTACCTGATGTGAAATGGGATGGAGAGTATTATAATCTTTAATAGTACCATGGGTGTCTCAATTATCGACTAGACAATCTTCTTCATTCATAGTGCAGCTCAAATACCGTATTCCATGCAAACTGTCTCATTGTCTCGTTTGTCTCATTGAGATTTGAATGCAACATTGATAAACTCTAATCCTAAAATGCGTGCTGTGCTAAAGGATGATTTTATAGAAATTGGAAATAATTTTCAATAATATTTAATTTATTTTACTTAATTCTAGTGTAATTTTTGCCGCATTAAATTATATATTAAAATTGCAAATTATCATTCATCATTCAATAATTAAAACGATTTGGTTTCATTGATTTGAGGTGCATATCCCGAATATTGATTTGTTATTTATTTTGAATGCTCAATTTATTTTGTATACAAAATTTGAGCTTTTTATTAGGTATTTAAAATAAATTTTAATTCTTTTATGAGGTTTGTATTATATGTTCACAGTCTGCAACATTCCCATTTGATCACATGATTTGATTACAGTATTAACTTGATTTTTAGCACCTTTATTACCTTTGGAAGTGGGAAAACAGGCTTTAAGGTATGTAGTCCAGTAAGAAATGAATACAATAAACTGTGTATTCTGGTCTTTTTAAAATTAAAAAAATTGAATACTCATTTCAATCGTCCCCATGTATTAGAATCGATTTAACTTAATCGTTTTATATTAATTCAAACGCAATTTAATTCTAAATTTAATTTTAAAATTAATTTTAAATTTAATTTTAAGCAATAACTAGTGGCAGTTCAAAATCATTGTATCGATATAAGTCCATTCAAATAACGAAAGAAATTTGAAATCTCATACACATACTTATTAGGAATGCATAAATAAACAAAATTTTCAAGTTTTAAAGGCCTGCATAATATTTAATATTCTATAAAATTTGTTTTGATGATGATCTTAAAATTTGGATTTGATTTATAATCTAAAAAAAGTTCTCCTATAATAACTTTATGCTTTTAAAATTTTGATAAATAAAAATTCTTTCACTAAATTGTATTAAAAGTGCAGCTCGATTAAAAAATTTACTTCATATTTACCAATCGAGAACGTCACAAGCAGTTAAACTCCAAAACTGGCTGACCCCATTGATTACTGGACATGGATACTTCAAGTATCAACCCAAAAACTCTGACTCTGTCCAGAAAAAAAGTCAACAGCGGTGCATATATTGTGCTATTTTCCAGCACTAACAAGCAGAAGGATGTCTGTTTTGGGACACCATTAAGTTGGTGATGACTTGGCAAGCAACTTTCAGCCAAATGAGCTGCTTGCAATAACAAGAGATGAAGGTATGCGAGTGGAAGCCTCTATAGCTTTAACTCAATAATGACATACAAAAATGAAGGGTCGAAAAACGACTTAAGTCGTTTCTTGGTTTAATTCGGCTAATCCTTCACTTCAATAGGTCGGTGCGCTGTCCCAACATTCCACAATATATATATAACCTTCAAAAACCGTCAAAACAAAATTGCTGCTTAGATTGCTTATAAATAACCGATTTGAAATAAACTATATTAATCGTAATCTTAAGATTACTAAGACACTAAGTAAAAACACTTTAAATAATAAAAAACTATTCTTAAGGTATATTTAACTTATTTTAGTATGTGTTTAGATTTAGATGATATATACTAAACTTTTTTAACAAAAAATATCAAAGCACAAATATCACTAAATAAGATTGTATATGATTTAGATTAACTACAGAATATGGAATCACTCCATATAAACAAGCAAGTCAAGAGCAATGCAAATCCAAATTGATGCAATTGTCTAAAAAAACTAAAAGTAATATATTTTATATATTTTCTATTTGCAGTTTGATTTATATTGCATATTTAGAAAAGTATTCGATAGAACATTGAAATACTTTGTAGATTATAAGTACATCATATACCTGTATTTAGTGTTCGTACTTAAAAACTTTCTAAGAACTCATGAAATGAGTTTTTAATTGCGTATAATAAAATAAAAATTAAAGATTAGCATAGAATATTTATAGTATTAAATTTTTTTTTCAAAAATATATTATATTTTGAAAAAAAAATTCAAAATCGCACTTCACAGCTACGCTAATAGAGGGATTTCTCCTTGAGCCGACGAACGTTATATATGTTTAATACATCAAATTTTTTTTGTTGCAAAATGTTTTAATATATATATATACATATATATAATATATATATACATATATATAATACTATAAACAAAAAGCTCATGAACTGTCTATCCTAGTTCACAAGCAAGTAGTCGAAATATATAAGTTTCTTCTCATTTTTAAGCTACAGTGAACGGTATTCGCATAAGTAGTCATAGATGCATTTGGAAAGTGTATATATTTGTTATTCAAATTTATATGTATACGTATACAAACATATAGTATACAATATCTTTTTTCAAAAATTATATATATCATGATTTGTGAGAAATACCTCCAACAATTCTTTTGAAATACTCGTATTTAAGGTTAGTGTTTACATACTGGCACTTAATGCAATAAACGACGAATTATTCAATTAAAACTTACACATTTTTTCAGAATTTCACAAACTGCGACTAAACAATAGTTGTGATCTATATAGTAATCACTGACCATACCACAAACTACGAGTAACCAAATATGTGTGATCTACGTAAATCCAAAACTGCGGTTACGCAGTTCGGTGCAGAGGTTATGGCGTATTTACTCATGCTCTGATTAAATTGATCAATTAAATTATTGCATGCCAACGTGACACTTTCACGTCCAATGATGCCCATACACTTCTATAAATTATGACTGACATAGCATTGCAAAAATAACAAATACAAAAAAATCCATATTCGACTGATATAAATGAGAACGTACAGATTATTGACAGTGCCAGCGCACCTACACTCTGCATATATAGATTTTGATAATCAATTAATTCGCAGTTGATGATGTAACGACTAATAGTAGTAGACTAGAAGGATTTTGGTGAGATCTATAATGCAAACTTTCAACCGTTGCAGGTTACGAAAGAGTTGATTCGAGTCGATTGATTACAAAGAGACATCTCATCTCAGTAGCGCAAAGTTAAGGTTTCTAATGACTCAAGGTTATCAAGCAGAATATCAAAGTCTTCCCTGCCATCTCAGCAAGACGACTCTATTCAAGATGATAGTATGTTAGCTTTGCTTGGAAGAAGATGAATCATCTATAAACTGTTAAATGCAACTGTTCGACTTTGCTCTAGACTAGAAGAAGAATTTTACAATGGAAACTACTATCTTTGTCTGAAACCCAGAACTTTATAACCAAAACGTACTGTCCTGTATTTATACGATAAAATGCTTTGTTATGTTAGGTATAGTTAAAGTCGAGCATTTAAACAAAACGGGGACATAAGAACTATAGCGAAAAAATCTATCTCTTTCTGACATCCAAAACTCCTTAACTAGGAATATTGTGTACTGTATTTATAACGCAATAACTGTTTATTTAGTTAGGGACAGTTGTAGTTAGACATGTGGCAAGAAGGGGACCTATCAGTCCTTATGCGTTTCCTAAATAATGCAGAAATCTATATTTATGTATGTATATGTATTCGTCATTAATGCATCATGACTATTTAATAAATTGAACTTTTTGTTTGATTACTAAGATTATTAAGCCGCCTTGATGTTAACTTCTAGAAGCATACCTACTTTAGTTCAATACAAAATAATCTAGTCGTTGCAATGGTCCATACATTTGTATATATATAATATTTTTCTTTTCATATAAATCATACACAAATCATGCATAAACATTCTAGGATGCAACGGATCTTAAGATTGGGGTGCAATATTCCCTCATAATAAATACACCGAAAGCTTGCTTAAGATAGTACTAATGTGATCAGTACTTTTGTTCAGTTAAGCGAACTATTTAAACGTACTTTGAGTGTAAGTTAATGGAAAGATTGGTTAACACAGCTTCCATTCCATATGTTGGAACATCATTATGCCCAGATAAAAAGTCAATTCATAAATGTTGGCGAATTTAATTTATTTTATTCCATATATTGCATTTGAGTTTTCTTCATTGATTTTTTGCTGATAGAATTTCCTTTGATTTTGTGAAATTTTTCATCTGTTCGTCTTTACTACTTGGTTTGCCCGGTTTTAGTGCTGTAAAATATCACTTTGAGTTTAACTTTTTTTACTTTAATGGCATTCATTGACATTATTGATACGTATGAAATCAAATTGATAGAAAAACAGTGTTGGGGATTATATGATTATTATGAATTATGTACTTATTATAACAATTAAATCAATAATATGGATTTACTTATTGCATTTTTTCTGCGGAAACCATCAATTAATTTGAGTAGAATATAAACTTGTATATTTGTTTATAAGAAAATTTAAGATAAGCATTAGTTCTTGAGAATTTAAATTATTTCGAAATGATGATAGGGTACAAATGCTTCGCAAGTTAACGAATGTCTTCATGATTATTAAGACAAGCGCTTTTAAAACTTTAGCAAGTCTCAACATTGCTTCACATCCAGTCAAATAATACACACAGTGGTGATAAGATATATCAATAAATTTCTAAAAAAATAATTATGAGAAGAGAATTTAATCAGAAATAATAAAGTCAAAAAAACTCTGTCTCAAATATTTCACGTAAACAAAATCAGCAATTAAATCATCAAATAAATTGCATTGAGAACTCAATTGATGTTCAGAAACAAAATGAAGCGGTCACAATTCAAGAATTTATTTCTGATGCTAATAATTTTATTGGCACTATCGGTTACGGTAAATGAGGCGCGCGGTGGACGTCGTGGCGGTTCCTTTGGAGGTATATTTGGCAGTTGGAGGAAATACAAAAAACCATCGTCAGGAGGTGGTAGCTCGCGCCGCGTAATAAGTGGTTCACCAGTACATACATCTGTTACAAAAATGATGAACCAAAATGTTGGTAGTCACAATAGTCACCGGAATCACCACAGTGGCCAAAAAAAAATACATGCAAGCTATCCACGTCAAGAAGGTGTAATTTATCATCACAATAGTGGCAATCTTCAATTCCATACACCCAATGGTAGAACGGATTATCATTTACCAGCAGGTAGCAGTTATCATACAAATCAAGCTGCACTTCCGGTTGGTGCCGTCTATTATGCACAGCCGCCAAGGCATTCATCAACAGGTGAGTTTTCACAAACAAGTGATATCATATAAAATGCTTAAATGAAAAATATATTTTGATGGGATTGTTTAAATACTTATTAATTAAAATTAAGTCTTTGTAAATATGGCAAATGGTATTACTTTTAGTCTAGCGTTATTTTAATGAGACTTTTTCATGCTTAAGCATTTGCAATTTCTCTATAACAAGAAATGTGTATAGGAAAGATACATTTTTGAATCAATAATGAATTGCGAATAACTGAGTAGTAACTATATTCATTGCTAAACTAATTCTGGCAGATTTAGGAAGAATATCCTACTTAACCTACTTAACACACATTAAATAAATTGAAGTAGTAACCTACGACTGTCACAACTATCTGATATTATTCAGTTACATTTCTTTTTTCTCTACCAAAGTGCTTTCTTTTAATTCGATTTTATGATAAAGTTATTTTTTAAATATTTGGCATATATAAAATATTTCAGATACAAACTATTTAAGTACAGGCTTCTTAAAATCAAGCTACTAAAATATTTCTTATATGTATGTGTGCATAATATTGGTTGCTCATATTGCTATAAAGCTTAGTATTTTTTATTTAATACATATTTCTTGTACTTATTACTTAAATACTTACATATATTCTATTTAATAAATGTAATCAAAAATTATTTATTTAGGCGACCTCATATTCGATGCTATGGCTGCGCATGCAATCACACGTGCCGTAGTCGGAAACCATGGATACCACCATCATCACTACCATCATCATCGCTATCCACAAAATAATGAAGGCGCAACAGAGAGCAACAATAGAATTATAATAATTAACAACGAAAGTAGTGCACCAAGTACAACCGACCAACATTTATGGCCGACAGACGGTGAAGTGCCTTTAGCACCGTTTAATAACTCAGTGTTATTAGATGTTAAAAGTAATATCGACTCAGTTTTCGAGCATAAACCAGAATCACAGCAACCAAACATATTTTCCCCTTCAATGCCAACAATGGGACAATTACCCGCACAACCGCCAACACAAGAATTTGCTGCACCAGCTGAACAAATACCTACTCAAAACGAACATGTACCACATGAAGGTGAAATACCACCCGGTGGTATAATTTGTGTGCCAATGCAAGTTCCAGAAGCTGATCCAAACGATCCAACGAAAACTATTAATGTTTTAAAAACTGCTTGCTTCCCAGCACCATCAGTACCGACAGAAGAACATCATGGTCAACGACATCGTCATTGTGTCATGCGTACAGTAACAGAAACCGATCCGGAAGATGCCACAAAAACAATTGAAGTGCAAAAGGAAGTTTGTGTAGTAAGAAGAAGAAAAGTAACCACGCAATCTCCAGAAGTTGCCGGCGATATCGTCGAAAATGGAAACACAACAACAACACCAACATCAGAAACCACGCTACCTATGCTTAGAGTATAATTCAAGCCAATGACTATATATAGTGTACTTTATACATTAAGACCGAAAAGTTTTCGGAAATTCTCATTTAAAATTCGCGCGCTGTATATTTTTCGATATTTTAAGTTTATGTAGTTTGGCAGCACTGTCCTTAATTACTATGCCAAAAATGAGCGCGATCTGTCAGACAGTTCGTTTTCGGCAGCTGTTGAAACCAGTTCACCTCAGTAGTGCGTTGCGAAAAAAACAATGGAAAAAAATATTGAACAAAGAGTTTGCATCAAATTTTGTGTTTCGAACGAATTTCGTGTGCAGAATCGTTGCGAATGCTACAAAAGGCTTATGGGGAATCAGTTTTATCGAAAACTCAAGTTTATGAGTGGTACAAAGCCTTTCAGGACGGTCGTAAGACCGTCGAAGACATTTCGCAACGCACTACTGAGGTGAACTGGTTTCAACAGCTGCCGTAAACGAACTGTCTGACAGATCGCGCTCATTTTTGGCATAGTAATTAAGGACAGTGCTGCCAAACTACATAAACTTAAAATATCGAAAAATATACAGCGCGCGAATTTTAAATGAGAATTTCCGAAAACTTTTCAGTCTTAATGTATACAACATTCATGTGTAAAATGTTCTTTAAAATCAACATTTTTAAAAGTTAAAGTAAAAAAAATAAAATAAAATTAATAAAATTTATAAAAAGTATTTTTATCTATTTTGTAATATATTGTATTATGTACATATATTTGAATCAGTATAGTTTGGTCCAAATAGTCTCTTCTAGTACTATGGCTTTAACATTCATAATGTAGTCTTTTCTCCTCACGTCTTAGGTATTTCTTGACAAACTCATCTCTTATCTCTTAATATAAAAGCATATACAGAGACAACTGAAAGACATGGATATTCGAATGAACGAAATTATTGGAAAAACTTTTTGTATATTTTATAGGTGAAGTTGTTTAATCTTGAAACAGCTTTACAGCTTTCTAAAGAGAACTGTATTGTTGCAATCAAATTCAGATTTGACATATGCTTAGCTGACATATCCGAGAGAAACCCCTTTCCAAATATACTATACTATACTTGTGTACTTACGTTGGATTGGACTTCATCTATGGCTATTCAGTCATCTATGGTCTGTAATTACTTCAAAGCTTCAATAATCAAATCATTAATTGTGAAATAAAAACGACAAAGAGTAATAATTTTGCATGCATTTTTACAATTATTGAAAAATTAAAAAAGTCTTTACAATTTTATTTAAATAAAAGAAAAACCAAAAAAAAAAATTAATTAAAATTTTTATAAAATGCAGTAAAGCAAAACATTTACAACGTTTTAATTAAAACGTTCTGCAATGTTTTAATTGCTTTATAAGCCTACTTGAGTATTCAATTACCTCAGCAAACTAAAATAATTTGCTTTACAATTGTGATTCGTGATATATGTAATATCACATGATGCGAAAGTACTCGGTAATGAAGATAAACCAATTGAGATTCAAATTTAAAAAACTTTATTTTAAATTTACATACTTAAAATATAAATATATTAGTACATAGGTAGAGTGCAGAGTAAGTTACTTGAAGAATACATTCAACTATTTTTTTTTTTCTTTTTGGCTAATACTCTTCCAAAAATAATTTGCTCATTCTAATTCTTCATCAATTGTTCTTCATTCTGCTCTAACTGTTGCTGCCTTTCTCTTGAAATGTGCCTAAATACTTAAAACATGATTATTCCTTCAGACCTTCAAAGATTGTGGTTAGTTTAATGTTTGATGTCATACTCCCCGATATAAGATGTCCCCCAAATTGGTCTTATTAATTCTGTTGTGCTACCATAACATTCTTTGTATAATCATATATTTTATCACATATATTTTGCATAAAATGCCAATCCTTTCCCAAGTGGAAGTTTAGTGGGTGTGCCAACTATTATGCAGCAAGTCAAAAGCAATTTCAAGTTTAAAAAATGTCAACAAAAAATATTTTCTAGTGTATTCTTCACCCTTTTGACATAATCTCCTAATTCTTGTTGTAATTAATTTATTGCATTGTAAAAAACTTTGACCAAAAATATTTTCCAGTACCTTCTGGCACTTCTTTCACAGTACCTCTCTTGACACAATCCTGACTACGACATTACTTAAGAGCTCTAGCAGCTTGAGTTGATTCCACTAGATATCGCATAGATATGACTGGAATACTTCATCCACAACAAGAATGAATAACAGTGATGATAATAAGTGTAACCGAAGATTACTTCAAATTGTTTGGAGATCGAGCAATAGTTGGTAAGATTTTAGATGATATTTTTCATCTCACTAATATGACACTCCAAAGATAGAAATGTTCATAATTTATTACTTTGAACATGATGCTAGTAAAGTCCAAATTATTTTCCACGTATCATCTTATTGGCTACGATTCTATAATATAATAAATAACAAGATTATGTCGCAATAATTATAAGAGTTATTGGCATCTTCTCTTTATAATGTCAGCATTCCACAAAGCTACTTAAAAGGACTAAATATCCTAATATTGATTAGATCGAAACATGACATGACTAATTCACTAATATTGGCAAAAGTAACTATAATTCTGTAAGGCGAATACTTATTTATTTTTTATTTGTAATAACTATTTTTTTTTAATTAAGTAATTAATATTAATTATTTTTAAAATTTTAAATTATTTTCTAACTATAATATTGCAATATTATTATTTAAATCATCATTCTATTATATATAATATTCCGATATTATTGCTTAAATCATCATTCCATTATATCAAGTAATCACCTAATCTAATTCCACAAATGCGTATGTAAATAACTTTATTAGAGTCAAAGCCCAATGGAGATGTAGTCATGCATTCGCAGTGCACATTGAAATCTCATTGAACCGAGTGGGTCAAATTTTTGTAGACTATCTATAGATAACCTTGAAAGATTTGAACTTAAATTATTATGGCGCTTTCAATAAATAAAAATAACAACAAGAAAGTAAAACACGTTCGAAAGCTTTTTGTTAAAATTGATTCCAAAAATTTATGACACATAAATTTCAACTTAAAAATGGGAGAATAAAAATCAACTTAATGAATAACTGTCAAAGAATTATTTTCAATTCCAATATATTCGTACACATTCAATGAGATACGAGCATCTAATCTGAACATGTGCGATGTGCCGCCAGAGTATCGTAACAATAATATTGCTTTTAGCTATCAAATACAGTATAATGTGCACTGTAAGGTTGTACTCAGCATCCAAACGGACCAGTAAACAAACAAACAAACAAACAAACTGATACGCAGACCAATAACTCGTAATTCCTAATCTTCTCCCAATTTGACGGATGCGAATAATTCTAGTGACATGAAAAAATTCGATTATCTCTGTGAGAGGAATTTTTTTCAAAATAATGCCGAAATAAACAATTTAAAATTAAGGCGAAAAATAATTTTTCAAACTAAATTGAATATCGTCTGTCCGTGTTTACTGATGCTGTTGCGAAAAACCCAATTTTACTAAGAATATAAGTCCACAAAAAAAAAACATATTTAAAAAATATTTTGTTATTGTTTTTAAAAAATTTTTTTAATATAATATTTACACTGATGAGACATAAATGTGATGTCATGAATGCTCTCTGACGTGTAACCTACCACTGAGTCAGCAATTTTTTTTGTAAATAGTACCATATGGTCTCGTAATACGTCACAGCTATACGACTTTATTAAAATTTCAATGTAAATAATATTAACTTTCTATATTTAAATACACAACAATATATTTTTATATCGTTAATTTACGTTTTAAGTAAAATTCTATAATTTTTATAAGTACTGTATTTCTTTAATTCAATAAGAATAAGAAAAAAATAAATAAAAACAATAATTTTTATTTGATTTATTTTTATCTGATTTATATAAAAAAATTTATTTTAATGAAAAAGAACTATAATAAAATATTTAAAAGATTTCTTATAAAAATATTCTTTTAATTTTTTATTATTTTTAATTTAATATAACATTTATATGTATAAATATATTATATAGAAATGTGACATTGGCATTAATAACAGGTGTGCAATAAAATTTTTGATTTGGAATATAAATAAAATTATTTGCATAAAATTTGGTTTGATTTATTAATATATATTTTTTTAACTCAAATATACTAATTTTTAAATATTTCTATTTTTTTTAAACAATTTTTTTTAGATTGCACGTGTCCAGGGTGGCACTTGTTGTACTAAAGGAATAAACCATAAACCTATATTTCAACAAATACTTTCTCATTTCATTGACTTTCGATCATGCATACCTCTGGCTACAGAATATAGTGACGGGTCGATGAACTGAAAAAATAAATCGAGAAAATATATTTATAAATTTATTGGTATATTTGTTTTTGCAATATAATGACTTCTTAATATGATAATATTTGTCTGACTTGTTATGGCATGAGTGGCACGTCTTATCTATAGTTACATATCATCTATGGTTATAATATAGCAACTAAATCTTTTAGAATAACTGTAACTGAAATCAGTCGTTAATTTGTAAACAGCTTTGTCATAAGTAAAATAATTAATTAAAATCCTACACATATATTTTTTTGTTGTATCATAGCAGCAAATAAACTCATTTTAAATAATTTTATATATATTTTATATATCAGTATTTTCACTTTGGCGGCCAGAGATTTAGATTTAATCATCATAGAAAATAAGCTTTATGAAACTCTTTTCTTATTTCTTAATTTTGAGAATCTACAAAGGGTTTCTCACAAAAATCACTATAAATTGTCCAGTAATGATCGGGCTATATTATTTTGACATACATCCATATACATACCGAAGTTAAGACAGGGACGCTTACATCTTCCGTTTCATAAAGTATTATTACACTTCTAACACAAAGGTTAAATACTATTCACATTAATACTCATAACTAATTTTATATATATATATATCCATTTTTTTCTTAGAATATCCATTATTTTGTATACATAAAAAAAAAGTGATATCTATTTTTTTAGTTAAATGACTTGTGCTATTGCTAATATATAAACCTCATCAGGTTTCAGAACATTATCAAGCGACAGCGTCACTCATTTTTATACTACTTTCAATTTCTTTCTCAATTTCTTTTTTATTATATTTTTATAGTGACTAATAATTATCTAGGGAAAGGTTATCCTTTCCCCAGATATATTTTCAAACTATGGTACACATTTTTTTTTGTTAAGTGACTTACCCTTATCATGCGAACGTTAATTTTAGCTAAATATTATATTTTCTTTAATTTAGTGAGAAAGTCTTTTCAAAGGTGCGTCACTCAAAGCGATTAACTCATATTTAGGAGCGTCCCTCCTCTACCGAACCCCTGAATATAGTATAAAGTGGAGAATAAATAGAAACATTATATTGCGTAGAATTTTTTTCGTGCCGTTTTCTTTCAAAAATTTATTGAAAACTACTTGTTGAAGGAGTGAGCACACACTAATCACCGACAACAGAGTCGTTACAAGCTTGTGTATATTTTATATGACCGACAGCTATTCAATTGCATAACAAACATCCTAAATACCTTACGGGGGCTATTTGATAAGCCAGCGTATAATTTAATTAAATATATTTTTATAAATAATTGTTATTTAGACCTATAAATCTATAAATTTTCTTCTAACTGGGCTTAAAATGGGTTATTTATTATATTGTTAATAAGTTGCACTTATAATCTTTCATACTTAAATATTTAAATAGTGTTTTATTAACATAATATATTTATAATAATTATAAATATAATTATTAATAATAATAATATTTTTTAAAAATATTTTGAAAATTTCAGCAAAAATTAGTGTTAAAATAAAATTTATGGTAAATGGTAAAATATATTTTTACTCAAAGAAACAGCTCAACAGATCATGTTCTTTTTAGAATTATCTTGAATATTCATTTCATGACTTGAACAGCATTTACACTAGTTAATTTTTGGTAAGACCTTTTAATATTCTCTCACTTTTTCACAAACACATACAAGTTTTTATTGACAAATAGAATTCGAAAATAATACATATTTGCATTAGGACATAAAAATTTTGGATTACATCAGCTGTTATAAGATTTCTCCTCTGTTTATGTCAAAAACTAAAATACTATTGGTATTTATGTTGTCTTTTATATATACTGCGACATGACAAATCGATTGTATTATATTTCACAATGTTGACGGATCAGCTGATTGTTTATGGCACAACTAATTCAGCCTTTTATGGCTGAATAGGCTCTGAATCATATTTTAATTCGTTTCATTGCACATGTAAGAGTGCTATTACGTATAAGTGTTATAATTTTCTCTAATATTTATGGAGCATAGTGGTGAGGATCCTTTTTCATGATAATATTCATGTACACATGTGTATATGACAAATCCCCCAGTCTACTAAATGTTCTTGCAATACACAAAATCTTTCTTTTCATGTCATAAATGTGTGTCTAATTAAAAAATAATAATAATAAAAATACACTAAGAATAATTAATTAAATAAATAGTTTTTTTTTTATATATATTGTATATCTTAATAATTTGAATTTTATTCTTTTCAATTACTAAATGTTTTTAATTGCTTTTGTTTTTTCGCAAACAACTCTGCATTTTTGTGTTCGGTTGTGTATGTGTGTGTGTGTGTGTGTGTTTGTGATGCTTTGTTGTTTTGACATTTGGCGGTACTTTCCGCTGCCCATCAAACAGCACAACAGCACACATCTTACCGCGCTACAAAAAACTAATTCCGCCAACAAAACGTAAGTAAACACAAAAACACTTTAGCTGTTGATTTGGATGATTTTTGAATTCAGTCGATGCCGATACGCTGAACATTGCGAAGCGTTCCGTCGGTAGAGTTAAGGTCGCGTGTGGAGAGTTTTACGCACGTTATAATACACAAAAAAAATTCAGGCCAAAAAATTAAAAAAAAAAAATTGTTTTATTATTGGAATACCGGTTTTTATTGAAATAATTAAATTGCAAAGAAACGAGAGATTAAACAATAAAAATAAGAAATTTCTGGTGTAAATTAAATAAATACTAAGTATGTATTTTTTTTCAAATAATAATAATAATGTAAAGAAAACACAAAGAAAGAAAAAAAACAATTCAAATGCTTGCTCAGTCAAGGGTGACATATAAATGCGCTACACGCCTTAACTAACAGAGCATAATTATGTGTTTACTATACTCTCTATATGGGAATCTTGTAACAAAATGAAGCTTAAATCACATTTAAAATGTTAACTTTAATTATAAAATATTTCAAAAAAAAAAAAGAAAAAAAACAAAGTAATAAAATAAAATTACACAATATGCACATACATACGCATGAGGAAGCTGTTGTGATTATGTGTGATGCACTAAACTGCCCAGCGTAGTTGTTGTTAAGTGTGCTGCGTTGTTTTTGTACAACAAACACACAAAGCATTTGTGCTGCTTAATTTGTGACTATTGTGTGGAGACAACGGGACAGACAAAGCAGAGGCTTATGTTATGATACAAAAGTAACAGCGCATAAATATGTTATGTACATCTGTGCCTTTAACAGCGTTTTTTGAATGCATTTAAAAGAACAACAACAAATGCCGATTTAAAATACCATTTTTCAACTGAGGTGTACTGTGAAATAATATACTAAAATCAATTAAATTTTAAATTGAGTTTAAATTGAATTTTATATTCAATTGCTTAGCAAACAGACATAATCTGAATAAATTATTTTGCTTAATTCGCTATTCAGGGTCATTTTGCTGCTTTAACATATGTTACACTCACTCACTCCTATTTGTTTAAAAGAATTCTGCTGCTGCTGCTAACTATCGTATGCTAATAACATGACTAGCATTTCAAAGTAATTTTTCTAACTAAATAATTACTAAGCACAAGTTTCAGTTTCAACTTCTGTTTTCATTTTCCTTGAAATTTGAAATTTATATTTAACAATATATTTATACAAATTATAAATAAAGTGACAATAATTGTTTTTAATGACTAAGTATGGTATGAACAGAAAAATCGTGATATGTACGTAATGTATATAGCATATACAATAAAACCACTTGAGTTATTTCCTGCGAAAAAAAACCCATTAAAATGTCAGCCTCAAATCCCAAACCCCAAACCTCAGCTCAGCTTAAAAGCATTAACATAAATGGTTTATAAGATTTCCAATGAAAACTAAAAGCGATTCAATAGTTTTGAATATAAATATAAATAACTCTTTTTTTTTATAACAAATAATTGTAAAATATATACATGTGTATATATTAGCCCTTAGCAGTCGTTGTTGACTTTAGCAAAATTTTAAAATTTGAAAAACTAAACTATAAATACATAGCACATTCCTTTCATTTGTTATCATGTTTTTCAGTCGTTTATTTATTAAACTTTGACACGCGATTATCACATACAAAATACCGAAGACTCGATGAGTAAATAACGATTAATGCAATCATATTTTATTTGCACTATAAACAGTTGTACATATATACACAAATATATACTAGTTTATCTATGAACACTAAAAGTACTCCTAATAGACACCTCTGCTAACTGTACCCCCTTCTTAGCTATGGAATTTTTGTAAAACCACCTTTTTTTCATAATATGAACCAACACCTATTGACTGGACATCCCTCTTGAATAAATAATGGGTGGATAAGGATGAGCGTATTTTCTTTGTGTTTTCATATTATACTGAAAACGCTATTCAATATATTTTAAGCAAATATTTAATTAAATTATAAAAGAAATATTTCAAATATTTTCCTTTTGCTTTGACAACCTTTCGCCAAATTTTAATTATAATTACTATCATTTGTTCTGGAAATCAGCGGGGGTTATGTTTTGAAAAATGCATAACATTGCTTTTCACAGTTCTCCTTGAGAATTAATAATTAATTAATATTCATCAATAAACTACTACTAAGATCGCAACAACACAAAATCTTACAGTATAATGTCGTTGATTGTAGAGTAGATAAACCAAAAAATTTTCCAGTTATATATTCTGGAATGAAAGTGTGTTCAATATTTTGAACAAGCGTTAGGCACGATTTTGATTGTTTTAGGTCTCACAATTTATTGACATGTGTACTTTAATAGAAGTACACATATGTGGTATTTAATAATACTAATAATATTTGTTTTTTAGGCTTTATGAAACAGTTAAAAATCGAAGATAGTATTGTAATGTCTTTAGTTCTTTAGTACTAGAGTGCCTATAATTGATCTTTCTGAATTATATCGATCATTTTATCAATTTTTTAGGTGATAGATCTGAAAACTTTTTGAACCTTTTTAGTACAAACTTTCAAAAAAGTCCAGAATTAAACTGAACTTTTCTATACAACAGATTTTCACATAGAAAAATGCTCCTAAACAATTAATCACAAATAATCAATCTATTTTATCTGTCAAACAACAAAACATCTTCAAAAATTTCTTCCCTAATCAAAAATACAAATATATTTAGGACACACATATAAACTCATAATGCATTTGATATAGAACTTTACACAACAATTTTACAGTTTATATATATATATGTATGTATATATGTATATGCATATATGTATTGTGATTAGCTCCTGCTTATGCTTAAAATAACCCTCAGTTTTTATTACAATATATTTCTATGGCACACAGTAAAAAGTTTCTTCGTTTTTGGTACTATTTTAGTGTTTTAGACTCCTCCATGCTTTTCGCTATCGTCACCTGGTTGTCATAACTCACAACTTTTTATCGAATATTCAATGGTTCATTTCCTTCATTTGTTTTTTGGACTATCAGCGCTGTTAATCTATTTTGATGTTTTTCTGTATACGTATTCCACAAAGCTTTCTAATCGAAATAAATGCTTATTTAAATAATTTTGGATATAATTTAATTTTTGATTCTGTTTATTGAAATACTCCTAAAGTGCAATTGTGATGTTTGTAGTATTGTTCGCATCTCTTGCAAATTATTCGATGTAGTAGGATCTTGTACACAATGACTTTTACATACTCCTTCGAAATTATAAATTGTGATCATTTTTTAATGTTCTAAGACCTCCTGATTTTAAAATATTTAACACTTAGTGCAGTGTTATTTCATCATTGGACCGAGGTACATGTAAACTCCTCCTTTCGTGCTGGTATATCTTATATTATAATTGCACACAATACTTTAACAACTATTACTATTATTGACTGATAATTTCACATTATAGAAAGTATGTCCCATTTGTGATGACTTCAGCAGGTCAAATATGGAAAAAATATATCATATCACACTGTAGAAATCATTGGAAAATTTTTATTTAATTAACCAATTTAGATTTGGTTAGATTAGACTGACCGTCACTGACTACCACGTATAAATTCTTGGATTCTTTGCGCTGTCAATTAGAAGCGGCTTTTGGAGAGTCGTAACGGATTAATTTTAGTGAGAGACTACTATCATGTTTACTATAGAAGTAAGTACGAAACTTACGATTTGTATACTTTAGCTTTCCAAACTGGGGCTGGGTTGAGCCTTTAAGATGAATGACACGAAGAATAGTGACGAATTAGAGAAATTTCAAATAATAAAAGTTCGAATTACAGAAGTAATGTGTTTTAATATATATTAATACCATTTTTTTTCGGTTTCTATATCAATATGTAGTTCATTTTGGTTGTTATTGCGTATTTTCATTTCAGAGAGAAGAGAAGAAGTCACAGAAAAACGTTTTTTTTTTCTATAAACTCATCTCCATATATAATATTAAATATTCTAAGAATACATTTTGTGTGTAAATATTCTTAATTAACAGATAGATATTGTATATAAAGTACATTACTTTTTTTCTGCACGCATTTTAAAAGAAGAATCTAATTTATTGGGCATGTGGCTCACAAATCCCCATGCTGACGCTACGATTACTATTTTCAAACCCCTCAATGAAAAATTTAAATACGCAAAAAAGTACAGTAGATTTTAATTAAACATAAATGTGTAATTATTATATATATTTTTTTACTTTAAATATTTTTTATATGACTAGAGGTAATTGGAACCAATTATTTATTTTTATTTAATAATTTTGTGATCTGAACAAATCAATTCGATTGATCGTTTCAAGTGTCTTGATATATGCAATAAGTAAGATGAACAAAATACGGATTTTGTACTGAAGTATTTAAATAAAATAATGTAATTATATTGAATTGTAATTCTCAAGTTACAAAAGACCCAATCTTTTACATTTAATTTTTTATTATATTAATTTTTACATAATTTTCTTGAGTTCATTTCAGTTGTGCTATTGAAATTATTTGTTGCAGTTAATACTGTATGTTTACTTTGCTTATATAATTTTAATAATTTAATTAAAAAATAAAAATATAGTATTATAGAAATCAACAAACAATAGTTACATCTGCAAATAAAAAATCATAATAATCTTTAAAAAATAAAGAAAGTTGTATTTAAAGAGTGAAATTACTTATTTAATTTTTGTTTTTTTTACGAGGCAATAAAGATCTAACAAAATGTATATATTGCACTTATTGTAATATAATTGTATTCACATATATTTGTATATAAATTGATATAAATTTATTGAATTTTTCGGAAAGTAATATAATTTTTGCCCAACAAACGATTTTAATGTATATTTTCACATCAAAATTCAAATTTAGGCTACATTTTCTTTACGTATATATGTTACCAGTTAATATATATTATATATAGACTTAGCATAGATAAATAATATATTTATTTCTGGATT